TAGGCTTTACAGAATAATTTAGAATACTTTAGGTTTCCTTAAATATCTGAATTCCCCTAAGTTCCTTTGTGTTTATTTACAGTTAATGTGTTAAGAGCCATTGACATTTGAAGATCATCAGAAGTGAAGATAAAACATCTCAAAAATTATAATGTAAGTGAATGGGAAAATGGAAATAAAAAATGGACAAAGGTTAATATTGCCAACAGTATTTCTGCAATTTATGTATTACTCCAAGTGAAATTTATGCATATGAGTAACCAGTAACTTCAAACTTAAGTCCCAATTCCAAGTCCCAGTCCTTAAAATTCTGTGTTCTCTTCTACCTGGGGAAAGTAGTCACTAAGCTTTAGTCATCAGTAATTTTCCATTAGAATTCTTTTGGCTTCCATGTACCGTTTTTCTCCTCTTTTCTCCTTAGTACTTTGCATTTTGACAAGGGCTGATGTTGTATTTAAAATTGCATGTGTCTGGAGACTGAGGTCTTGGCTTTTTAGCTGTTGAGGTATGTTTTATGCAGGTTTAATTTTACTACCGTTTTGTATGTTTCTTGGGCAAAAATATGACTAGTAAGCTAGCTAACCTCCTCCCTTCCTCACTTCCTTCCCTTCTATCTTTGCCTACTCCCTTCCTTCCTTTCTTATTCTCTGTAAATATTTGTTTAACATAAGTCCTGCACATTAAACTAGATCTAGAATTCTTAACGGTGGTACTGAAACAAGTTATGTCATCTTTTTATACAGTTAGGGGCATTAGAGATCATAGTTAATTTCTCAAGCGTGGCTGAGGACCACCTGCTCTTCTCAGTCACTTGCAGTGCCTGGTGAACATTTCGCTTCCTGGGTTCCAGGCCAGACATTCTGAATCATTGTAACAGAACTAGAGAAGTTTAATAACTTAACTAACCAGAGGCACCCTGAGTGTTAAAAGGCCGAGAAAGGTTGGTGTTTTCTCCAAAGTCACAGAGGTATTTAGTGCCAGAAGTGACCTCCTGACTCCTAGTTCTAGACCTCAGGTCATGTCATGGCTTTTGTTGGGCAGGCAGCTTCACTCTGTGTGTGTGTATATATACATGTATACACATAGATGTAAAATCATAAGCAGTTTATCACTGTTCCTGAAAAACAATCGCTAAGAAAACAACTGAAGAACATGGACTGTTTGTTTTTCATCTTTAGTCAGACATGACTGATACTGATTTTGAAATCATTGGCTGGGAAAAGACCCCTGGTAGTCCAGGAAGAGGCAAAAAAACTTTTTTCTTTTTCTTATGGCACTGGCCCTACTTGGTCTTTAAGTTTTATCATTCTGAAAGGGAGGGCTCTGATTCCATTTGTGAATGTTGGTGGCTAGCATCGTGATTGCAAATAGTAGGTTCTTGATAAACATGGTATGAATAGGTTACTGTTAAAACTGTTTTTTTGTTTTCTTTTGACTTTTATAAGATACTATTAAGAGTGGTTTTATTTGCTTTGTACAGAAGCTGGTGCTTTACCAAGCCAGAGACCTTAAATAATTAAAGTCATTTATATTTATGACACTCATTATTGTGGTTGATGTTCACAGTATCTCTGAGGGACTGAAATATTCTAAATTATTTTCTGCACTGTAAGTGTTTGAATTAATTTTTATATTATGTATATCTTATATTGTATTGTGTATAGTATACTGATAGTGACTGAATTGTAACCTTACGCTAGTAATGTAGTTATCTGGTTTTCTTTGAAATATTCTGTAATTCTCAAATTAATTAAGTTTAACTATAAATTGGTGTTACCCAATACTCTGGAAATTTTTGGACATGTGACTTTTAAAAATCTCTAATTTGTTTCTAATAAGTTAATTGTATTTTTGTAATTTAAAATTTTCTTCCCATTAAATTTTTTTTGCTCTTTTTGTAACCACAGACTTAAAATTGTAAATATGATAGCTCTAAAAAGAAATTTTTTAAAAAAGATCTATTATGCAGTATAACACCTTCATTTTTTATGTCTGGGCACTGAAAGGACTTGCCTAAGAGTGGAAGTTTTATGAATATTAAAATACCCTTGTGTATAGGGTAATAGTTATTGTATTTCTATCATATGTGTGAAGTGCTATGAAAACTGTCAAGTGTCACACAAATATATTATTATGATGACTGCTCTGATGATAGTATGTCCACTTAGTTTCCCTTTGATTTCATTGAAGACATTTAGTATTGTTTAATTGAAAATCAGAAAGAAAAATACATAAATGCTTATCACATGATCTGTTTTCTTATTTCTTGTGCTCAGATTTTACTGTGTCTCCTTGAAGCACATGATACTAGAATAAATACTTTGTAGGTTGCCTAAATTTCTCTTTCACTGTGCTAATCCAATCCAGATTTCACTTTATGCAATTACACAAAATACTCAGGATGGTACCTCTATATTTGGAAGACTTCTTCAGCAGTTTTCTCTGTGGAAAAAATGGTTAATAAATGAATGAATGAATGAATGAATGATGTAATCTAATTAAGCTGATGGGGTAGTAACCAATTATAGTAATAATTAGTTTTTCTCTGTCTTGGAAAAACAAAAGTATCCAGATAGCCTGAAGAATGGATATGTGGTTTTAATAATGAATTTTATGGTTTTAATAACGAGTTTGGATTTGCATGGTGGAGTGAGAAAATTACGTGCAAGTTCATTTACCAATACATGTGTTCCCCAGGTGTTTTCTGTATTTGTCCAGGTAAAAGTGTCTGCTGAGCGAGCATTTGCTGAATGGTCAGCTCTCCTCTTCTAGTGTTTCTGCCCTTGTACTTCAGTATGGATGGAAGCGTTTGTGTCTAAATTCTAAAATTCAAAGTGTTCTTTGAACTCCAGTAATCTTACCAGCTTTCAGTTTCATATGACATTTTCCTCAGCTAATTGATACATAAATAACTTCTCTCTAGGCTGCTTATGACTCCACTGAGTTTTAACTTCAGCCCTCATCTGAGTTGGGATCAGGATTTCTGAAGAAAGTCCGAGAAACTCCTTTAAGGAGTTGCTGAGGGTGTTGGGGTTGATGCTGGGACTCAGGGTCCCTCCTGTTCTCCAGTTCTCACCCCGCCCCCAGGGACACACTCATTCTGGCTAGCCTACCTTGGCTTTTACCTATTTCTATTTCCAGATAAGGTCTTTGAAGAAACATACTCTGCAGAAAAAAGAAGACGTATGTAGACCATTTTCTATACAACCTCGTTTTTCACACTTTCTGCTGCAGCATTAAATACGCCCTAACTTCTAGTTAGGGAAATGTAGACAACAGACCTGAAAATAAAATAATTCAAATTAAACTGTATCCGTGGTCACGTGTACCTCAGAACCTTGGGATTTTGCAGACTAAGTGCCAGTATGCGCCAGCTGTCCCAGAGCTCAAACCCCCTTTGTTCCTCTGAAGAATACAAAATGTGGTCTCTCATCTCTGTCGGTCAGATACCATGATGATAAAATCATTTATGGCCTCTCTTTTATACTATAGATTGGTTAAGTTAAAAAAAATTCAGATTTCTGGTATAGCATTTAAAAAATAATTACTATAAGCTCCAGTAATTTGGGGGAGTTGGTTTTCTGTTTTGGAGGCCCTGCAAGTATTCTGACAATAAGCCTTTTGTGTGCCAAGTGCATTACACACTCTGCAGTCCTTTTATTATTTTTTAAATAAAGTTTTCAACAGAATGGCTAATAGAGCACGAACAGTGCTTATGACACTATAGTCCATTGTGTAAGTACTGACAGCAAAATTTGCATTCCTAGGAAAGCTTGCTCAACAGTCAGAATATAGAGTACATTCTTTAATGTTCTTGGGCAAACATTCTATGTATGTGCTCAGCTCGTTACTTACAGGAGAATACTTTTTGGAAAGAACCTTTTCTTGCCATGGAATACTGAAGAAACATTAAATTGGCAGTAAGAGTGAAGCGATTTAAATAAGGCAAGTGATTTAAATCCTATTGTAATAACTATGGTCAACAATGATGGGAAGTAGAAGAAAGGCGAGCTCTCTCAAGTCCTCTGCAGACACTTGTTTACTCGGATCTATGAAAAGATAGGTGACTTGTTTCCAGGCAGTTTTGAATTAAGAGTATAGAATGCTGGTGTGTTTACCTGCATCTCTAATTTTCAGAAATACTTTTTCACTTTTGCCTGAAATGCCTGTATTTGAAATACTAGTGAGGAGAACTAAGAGGAGTATAAATATATTCATGGCATCCTTCCGTGCTGAAATTTTATTTTTTTGTTCATTATTGTGAAATACCACCAAGTATTAGTGTGACTGACAATAAAGTGATGGTAATTCCATTAACAGCCCAGCAAATCGGCAGAGCCAAAGAAGGTCAGTACTTTGCTAACAGTTATGTTGAAAAATATTGGTGATGGAATTGGTTTTGCGATTGAAGCTTTGGGCCAGTCTTCTGCATGAATCTTTCAGAAGTTACACAGGATGCATATATGCATATGTGTTTAGGGGAGTGTGTGTGTATATTATATGTATATATTTATATGTTAAAATTTTTCCCCTTGATATTTGTGCTTTGTATAAAGTGATTCATCCATTAACTAAAACTTTTTTTAATTTTTGAAGTTTATACATTTGATTATCTGAATCAGATGAGGACATTTTATAGTACACATCTGAGTAAAAAGTGTTTTTACGGCCAAAGACTGATTCATTTTAATTTAATTAGTGGGTTCCTTTTTAGAAGGAGACCTTTATTTTTTATTTCATACTATTTTCCCTTCTGAAAAAGATACTCTTGTATTTCCACAGTGTTATTCGTTGAACACTTTCTACCAGTTAAGTATTTAGTACTAATTACTTTGTACAGATCATGTTTTTTGGTCCTTATTATGGTCTTGTATCAATATTGTGTATTATAAAGGAAGAACTTTAAGTAGCTGGCGTGAATTATTATTTGCTAAGTGGTAAAACCAAATCTTTGTGACCCTGCAGCTCCTGTTTCCAGCTACTGAGCACTTCTGCATCTGTGTTCTGTGCTTTGTGTTCTGTTCTGTGATGCCGTTTCATCCTTTATATCCCTTTATTCCCACGCTGTTCCATTATGAGATACTTAGATATCTGGCATCTACCTTAGACTATGAGTTTCTTGAAGAAAATAAATCAGCACTATCCCCAGTAGA